AAAACCAACAACTTCAATGCTTAAAGGTAAGTTGTACTGCTCTGCAGCAATTTTGTACCACAGTGAACTGTAAACTGGGATATGACATCTACCTGCAAGTGACTAAAAAATAAAGGGAAAATTGTCACTTTTAGCCCCACCTTTAAGAGGAGGGGAAAGGGGAATAAATACCTAGAAGATCTCACTTTACACATAAAAGCACACTTCTCCAGAGCCAACTATTTTCATATTGCTTCAATGTATACTCACAAAATTAAAAACAAAACAACAAACAGGCTAGCATAAGATTGTAAAAAAAAAAAAAAAGGTCATCTAGTAAGCAATGAAAATTTTATCCAATTGATTCATAGCACACCTGACATCAAATCAAAGACTATATGCTTTGTGCTATTCTAACACCGTATGCCCCAACAAAAGATGAAGGCAATGGAGCAGAAATAAATGTTGATGGACTTGGTTTAAAAAACAGTCTTAGTTAATCCAAGTTAGTGTCTACACACCTTAGCGGGGAATTTGATATCGATGTTAACATCGCTGGTCTTAAAAGCAAATCTAGTTAAACAAGAGCCATACATCCTCAGCGAACAGTCTGGAAGAGAGAGAATCATAATTATTTAACAGCTAGTAAATAATTTTTTCTTTAATGGATGATGCATATCTTGCTTTAGATACTGTACCTCCCAAGTGGTACTCCCAGATTAATGAATATTGAACCACTTTCTCACTCCTGTGAAAGCTAGTCATTTCCATAACACAGCATCACAGGAAAACAGATTAATTCAAATAGTGTAATTACCAAACATCCAAAACTTCTCAAGCTGTTTTAAAGCATTTTTGCAATGCAACTTTAGTTTTATTCGTTCTTAATATAAAATTAAATATAGTAATAACTGTCACCATCTCGATGCAGGATTTTATTTAAGTGTTTGTTAACTACAGCTTGATTTCACTGCAGCAGTTAGCCAATTATAAAAGTCTTTGTTGCCTCATACACTTTTGTCAAAATTTTTTTATGTGTTACAATATTTTAATTTCATTAGAAAGTTCCTACACACTATTCATTACAAAGCATGCATATAAAATGTAACTTCATTATAATCCAAGACACAGTACAATGACAGTATCCACTTAGTGGTTTTGTAGTTAATACAGTTCCTTGCCTGCAAAGATGTACAACAGATCTAAACTTATTAGAGAGTAATTATGCAGTAATAATATCATGATATATGTCATTCCACTGCATAAACTGTAATTTATCCCACTTCATGACATCATTTTCATAGATGAAAACTTTCCTGTGATACATGTTAGAGCTCGGACATCTTTATGTCAGCTGAAAATCGAGACTATTCTCACTCCCTTCCACACCCAACACCCTGCTCACGCAGGGTCACCTAGAGTGGGTTGCCCAGAACTGTGCCCAGCTGGGTTTTGAAAATCTCCAAGGATGGAGAGTCCACAGCCTCTCTAGGCAACCTGTGCCAGAGCTCAACTAGCCTCACAGTGAAAAGGGAGTTTCTTGTATTTTTTCTTAATACTTTTATTTGTGTTCTGACCAATCTCTCTCAATCAGAACCACAATAAAATAATTCTTAAAAGAGAAAGTAAATCTCATGCATACACAGCTTCAAACAAACCTTTCTCTATTTTCCACTCTCAGAAACTAGCCCTCTCAAAAAGAATTTCTGTATGATAAGTAAATAAGTAAATAAATAAAAACAATAATACTGCATTGTCATACTTTCAATTGCTTTGCATAGTAGTAAGAATTTTTGCATAGTTCTATTGCAAGCTCAATAGAAAACCATGCCAGAACATCCCATGTTTTCTACACTGTGCATGAATTAATTTTCACCTAATTTACAATTTACAAAACCACATTCACTAAAACACAGTGGGCTTTGAAAAAGGGAATAACTGTCATTTACTACTACAGACTCCCCCTCCACTACTACTACACCCCCACAACAGCTCATCAGTCCAAACAAGTTCACCAGTCCAGTAACACTAACGTAGTAATTTTCATCAGTATTTATGTAAAAGTAATAATTTCCTTTGCTTTGTCTTATGCTAATGTACTATCAGTGGAAAACTCCACAGCGTGTCAGAACAGAATTTTGCACTAGGAGCCACACACAGGAATAATACAGAGCAAAGATCAGCAAACCTCCACCCTACAAGTCCCTGTTCTATTCAGCACCTTATGTTTAAGCACACATTTAATACAGCTCCTAAAACTAAAGCTGATCATTCTGCAGCAAGCAAACAAAATCTCCAATACTACTGTATTTTTATAGAGCAAAGGGAAAAAATACATTATGTCTAAAATAAAAGGATAGTACAGAATATCAACCGAGTTTCAATACAAATGAAACAAAAAGTTTGAAAACTTCTTTTTTGTCAATGAGATCAATACTTTCTTCTGTTCAGATTCATTGGAAAACAAACCATTGTTAAAATAATGTCAACATTACTGTAGCTTCAAAAATCAGCTCTCAAACTCCCAGTGTATTAACTATAGGAGACGATGGGAAATCAATGCAAAGAAGCAAATGTCGAAGATTATTTTATTGTTGCTTTACTTATTTTATTTTCCAACTGTTGCATAACTTGGATGTGAATCTTTAACTTGTCCTACTGAAGTAACATACTGTGCTGCTGAAGCGAGGGGAGGGGGAAGACTACAATTCAACTTATCCAGATAATTTTTTTTTTTTTTTACAAACTTTACTAATGTAGTGAATTTTATTGACCCACTCAAGCAAAAAAAAGCGGGACTAAGCACTTAACCCACTCAGACTTTTTCTTCTAGATTATTCTAATTTTTAATGAACATCAAGCACTCAATCCAGAATAAGGCAGATGAGGTATGATACTCATACATGGCAAAGTAAATGTAGTATTTTGACCTATTTGAGTCAACTGCAGAGACTTTGGGAAGCTGTAGTTGATCTCAAAGTACACCTCTCCTCATTTTAGGACCCATTTACCGTAAATACACATGAGAAGAAATACCTGTTAAACAATAACTCTTGTTGATTTTAATGACTTGTTTCAATGAACAGTCACTGATTCGTACCTGCAGATATTTCAGATCACAATTAAGTACTGCAAATGTCTCATACACTCACCAAAATCACTCATAGCTGAGGTCTAATTTTTTTTCCTAAAACTATGCTTTAAAAAAAAATTGCCTCATGCAACTTCTATCTGCCCTGAAAGATGTTATAAACAACTGAAGGACTGGTAGGAAAAAAATACATTTCAAACTCCTCCTCATTTTCCCCTCCTGCTACATTTATATTAGTTTAATCAAATGCACTTGGAAAAAAAAAAAAAAACAAACTCTAGTGTAACAGCCACAGATATTCAGTAATGCTAGGCAAGGTATAGGTGGAAAGGTTTGTAGGACTAGAGCCTGAGGGAGATCCTCAGTGGCTGAGGCTTTAAACACAACCAGGCAGGAAATTTCCAATCTTCATCAGAAATCATCACTTTAAAGAGGACCCACAGCTTCAATAAACGCATACCAGAAAGAGGTAAAAACAAGCACAATCATATTTTCCTCTTCGTAGGTTTGTTTGCTCCTTTTAGATCAATTGCTAGTCTGCATTAAAATGCCTGTATATATTAATATTGTATAATATGAAGATAATTTAATCCCAAATGTATTAATTTACCATTAATGATGGTATCAAAATCTGTTTAAAATAAAGAAAAAGTTTCACCTAAAGAAAATGGAGAATACTATGAATACCTGGTAAGGGCTGTTGAATAATTTTCTCCATCTCGTTTACAATTTCTTGACGAATTCTGAAGTCGTCATCTGATATGCCTTGTTCATTTGCTGCCTCAATGAGTGTAAAACTCAGAGCAGCCAACTGTGCAGAAGAGGGGGATGGGAGGGCACGCAGCTCATTTTCTTCTTGTTTTTCCTGAATAATTGTTGGATGATAAAAGTAAAAACTGATATTTTAAGAGGAAAGGTTATCTCACACCATTGCATGACATTAGAACATACTGTTTGCTGTTTGTGGTCTTCTGTTTACATGGTGTCCTGACCAAACACCTTCAGAGGCAGGAACTCTGCCCGGTCTAACTGGCAAACGTATGAGTGTGGCTCACAGAAATGCCAGTAGATGCTCGGTGTTTCAAAGAGAACGTGTTGTTTCACGGCTGGCAACTGGGGATGAGATCTGCTGTGTTACATTCCTGAACCACATTTTCTGACAGTTCTGAAACAGAATTCATCCAAGGAAATGAAAAGCTGTAATTGTTCCTACATAGTAAAACTAACTGAGCCGAGAAAGTTTTTCTGGAGTCACACAGACTTTTTTTCAGAGCGGATTGTACTTGAAGGAAAGATATCAGAGCCAGAAAAAGTATTCCTGGCTCCAATAAATTTTGGTAAATTGAGTCCCATTGTTGCCTAAACAGCTGGTGCCAGAAAGTGCTATTTTTAGTGCATGAAATTATTATCAATTTAATCCAACAGCAAGAAATATGTCAGACGCATCAAGTCATTTGGGCGTAAGTACAACAATCACTGTTTCACAAATCCATCAACTAAATGAAACATGTGACTGACAACAGAAATAAATAATAACCAGAAAATAACTACGCACTTAGAAAACACAGTCCAGTATGAAAATGTTTGGTTAGTTACAGGCTGCATCTCTCAACTCTTTTGTTCTTAGTTGAACAAATATAACATAAGAAAGAATATGTGCATTTTTAGAGGGCTGTGTTTTTTTTAATGGCACTGCTTTCGGGTTTTTCTTGAGTGGGGAAGCCACAGCTGCTGCTAAGCTTATTTGATAGTCATGTATCTCATAGTTACAGCTGTAAATAGGTATATTTTATGAAGTAACATTTAGACAGTCACATACCACTTATTCCTGTAATGTGGCACACAAAATAAAGCTATCTGGAGATAAGTGTTAAAAACTGAAACTGCTCCCTGTCCTCTAGCATTTCCATTCAGCGGTAAAAAAATCTCATTCCTCAGTTTTTATCTCCATGCCCAGATGAAAAGCATGGTATGAAAGCCTTTCCATATCAAACATGGGTCTTGTTTGTTGCCATTTTGTTCTTTGGTTTTTTTTTTCCACAATGCAATTTAGCAGATAGCAAGAGAACCAGAATCCTTTACAAATAATAACTGAGTACAATACAAAAATGTTACTTTCTGAGATGTAATGGATTTATGGCATTCAGAGTGTTCCAGGTGATGGCTTGCATATATGATAGAGCATTAATTACAAACAGAAGTATGGAAAAAAATACATGGAAACAGGAGTAATTGACTGAATTTTGGAAACTGGTTGTAGGAAGAGTAATTTTAACCATCTGAATCACAAAACCCTACATACTTAAGAATTTGTAGCTCTTTATCAGCATTTACAAAAATGGACTGGCAAGAAAATCTGGGCACCTTTTACTGAATTTCATGCGTGTAACAGTTCTTCAAAGCAAACCAAACAGTAACACCATGGTATCTGATAAGGAAACTGTTTTTCTCTTTGAAAGCCTGAGAACTGTTTTTTATTTCAAACACACACATAAACCCAGAGAGATGACGAGTGACTCAAGAACTGACTCCCTCCCTACTTTAACTCTCTTTTCTTAGTCTAGACAAACTATCCACCCCACTCACCCACCACAGAAAGGATGTAGATAAAAAACTTCACAAGTCAGACAAAAGAGAAAAAACAGAAAAGATCAACATCCCCAAACCCACCTCCAGTCCCTGGAGGTTTTGCTACCAACAATACTATTTTTGGAAGAAACAGAAAAACGAAATAGGTTTCTCACCTAAGTTACCTTGCGTTCTGTTACTAAAAGTATGATGAACTGCCCACTACTCAGAGACACTAATTCAGAAGCAATGACCAAAAATGTTCTTTCCTCTCTGCCTGGACATATCATCAAGCCCTTCCTCTCAAACAGAAAACGAGCAACAGAAATATGTGGAACTCTGCTCAGCACACAAACTTTCACCTAAATGAAGATGACCAAAGAAAACACACCACATAACAAAAAAAAATTTTTTTTTAAAAAAGAAGGGGAAAAAACATAAAAAAATCAGTCAAAATTTTATTTGTTAACTTACCATTATATTTTTCTTATGACGTTTTTCTTTAATATGCTTGTGAGCTCCCTGGATATTTTCAATGTGAACTAAGCAGAGCTTGCATAGATACTGACAGTTGGTGTATTCTGGGGAGCGCTGAGGAAAAATGGCCATAGATTAAAAGAAAATGTTTCTGCCAATAGTGTCTGAAAAACTCAATTCTTTGAACAAGAAATTGTATTTAACAATTATGTAACACTTTTAATCTCAAGGTGCTTTGCAAACATTAAGTAATCTTCAAAAAACAACAGTGGAAATGGATTTTTACCCATATGACAACTGGTGAAAGCGAGGAAAGAAAGTGAGATGACTTGAATATTACACTTCTCAGTAAATTTTAGTGAGGCAAGATTAAGACTGAAGAGTTTATGCCTCTTAGGGCTGACCTAAAGGCCAGTAAGCCATTCTCTTGTCAGCTCAAGCTTTTAATAACTATGGCTTTATTAAATCTCAGCATCTATCCTCCTTTCTCTGATGAGAAAATGTGAAGTATTCATCATATTATCTATTGTACTTGTTATGGCAGATGGTGTTGTTGTTTAGCTAGTATATTCACAACGTACTGTTCAAGTACTGCATTTTTTGTTCTATTAAAAAGGCTGCAGCTGGCCAACAAGGAGGAAGATACCAGTTTCTGATTTACTAATGACTATACCCTGGATAAGGTGGGAACCTGGCAAAGGGTAAGATTATTCCACTTTGATGAATAATTTGGGATGTTCAGAATTGGAGAAACATGCAGAACAAGCATCTTTTTGTACAGACAGGCTGGGAGAGATGGAGTACACAAATGGAGAGCTGCCACCTGGGAGACCCCTGAGAGTCTGCAGGAAGCAGCCACGCCTCGGGAGATGATGGGTGAGGGGGAAATCACTATTTTCCTAGGGAGCAAGAGGGGATACTGTGGAGCTTATTCAACCAGGAAACCACCAAGAACTACTAGACTAAAAGGCCAAAAGGACCACTTCTGCAAAGATGAGGCAATGTTTGCAAACACTCCTGTCTCGTCCTGTAATTGCATTTTCTTGCTCTAATAAAACACAGCTATAGAGATTGAAAACCTTTTGATATGCTCACTGCAAAGACAAAAGGGCCACAACAAAAAACCTTAGTTTTCCTCCAGACTGGTTAGCATTTTTCCAATAACTGCTATCAGTTATAACTGGGAGAGAAAAAAATCCCACTTAACATTTTCATCCTAATTCTAATACATCTATATTTACTAAAACCGGAAAGTATACTGAAACACCAGATGTTTAAACAGTGATGTAACAACGAATGAACAGAGAACACCATTTTAAGACACTAAGGTGGACTACAGATCAGTTAAAACAAATTTGACTTACTATACGGAAACCTAAACCACAGCTAAATTTGGGCAAGTTTTTCCACTTACTGAGTCTGATCTTTTGCTTTTGGAAAAAAAAATAAAAAAGAAAAAAAAATAGTCTGACACCTGAGGGTATCACTTTAAAATAACATGATCATTATGCTTTTATTACTCATTCTCTTCACCCTTACTTCCTATGAGACAGACACCTAGTAAGATGAAATTAAATATCCATTTGGAAAACAACTTAGTTACACTGGGCTAGCTTGGAAGATTCAAGTATTCAATACCTGAAGATTGAAGGAGATCAAAAATATTTTACCATTCTTCTAAAACTGAATGAATATCAGCAATAATAATACCATAAAAAGGTGGTGGTGGTGGTGTATTTCTTTACAATACCCGTCTGCAGTATTATGTCAACAGATGTTACCAGGAAGGTTGAATACTGAATGCCTTTTCTTTTGCCTTAATTGTAAAGCCTTTTTTACATCATCTAGTTATGCTTAACACCAATGAAAGGGGCAAGAACTCAAAACAGCAAGACAAAAATGCTACAGGCTACTACTTGAGTAAGACAGATGCATCCAAACGAGCCAGGCCTCATGAAATTTGTTCTTGGCTATTCAGGGAGCTAATCCATCTCAGCCAGTTGTATTTTAAAGAACTCACAGAGAATTGGAAGGTGCCAGATCACTATGAAAGACCGACTTGAGAATATCTTTAAAAGCCTAAAGAGGATGAACCAAGGAATTAGAAACCAGTCAGAATTAGCACCCAGAAAAATACTGTAATAAAGTAAGTTAATAATAAGCACATAAAAACAGGTCATAGGTGACAAACTGATCTGCTATAAGCAAATTGCACTAAACCAGTTTTAGGATCCTTTTTTAAAGATGAAATCATAGGGCTTGAAAAAGCAGCAGCAGATATTGTATCTTGAATTTTACAAAGTTCTTGTCACTTGTCATAGCATCAGTCTCAAAAGGAGACCACAAACACCATCTAAATAAAGAACAGTAAGGTGGGAGCAAACCTCCTCAGCACACTGTCGTCAGAGCACACACACCTAGACCGGTTCACCACCAGTCTAAAAGTATGTGACAAGCATTTTTCAGCAGGGGTCCTTCTGGGATCAGAAACATTCATATTTTTGTTGCAGAGTTAGGAAATGCAACAGAGGGTGTGCTGACTGCAAACGTGGAAGATACCAAGTTGGAGAGGTTACAGAAGACGTAGTATGACAAAAATTCAGCGATCACAGCAAATTAAGAGAAAGGAAATAAATAAGCTGTAATTAAATAGTATCAAAGCAAAGTATCATTCCTCCTTAGGTATTATCAGCTGCAAAATACACAGGGCTGGGAACACCTTATTGAGCATTTCTTAAGAAAAGGATATGGGGATCACTGCTGGTTAAACTACAAGCCAGCGTCTATTGCTGCTATAAAAGCAGATATCCTAAACACAAATGCTACATTTCAGACAGATGAAGTCAGCTTTCCTATTCATATGTAAGACCTCAGCTGAAACTGCATGTCCAATTTTGGATACCAGTTACATGGTGGATGCCTACTGAAAAGCAACAAGAATGAACCAGTAACTAAAAAATCCCTAGGACTGAAGAACAAAGAGAGAGTCTAAAAAAAGATATGACTGCCGGAATGGCAAAGATCTTCAAAGGTGTAGAAAGTTGCTGAAAAAAAGTAATAGACTTGTATTTATTTTCCTAGGACAATATACGAGGGATCAAAATGCTGCAACACACACATTAGACATTAAGAAAAACTTCTGAGTTACCTACATTGACTTCAAAATTTGTTTCACTGGAGATAATATTAAGAACAGTTTAGATGAACATTTTTAAGGAGTCACCTTCAACACGGGTGACTCAGACTGGCAGAAGGCTGATACACTGAAGACTGTACAAGGTTCCTTTCGATCTTGTATTCCGAGTTTCCAGGTAATGAGAATTTCCAGAAAATCTTATGTAAGTAATGGAACTGTAAACCTTTAGGTCTATAGAATTTAAAAATACTGTTCTACAAAGGCTACACGTGCCACAGAAGCAACACTAATTTTTCAATCCACATCATCTGCCACGATGCACGACTAGTCAACTACTAGGGATAGTATCTTAGATCACTAAAGTCATTCATTACAAAGAAGAAAGAAACTGAGGCAACAGGCTCTAGTAGAAATACCACCCAACCAGAAATATGGTGATGATAATGAAAGACGACACCCATTTTCTTTTGTATCTGATAAATAACTCAACCTACTTTTTCAAGTCGGGAAATATAATCTCTTTCCAGACGTTCTTCGGCTTGCTTCAATCCTAGTTGCTGTTCAGCTGTCAGATTAGATTCATCAATAACAGCAGTGTTTTCTAAATAATCAGCTTCCAAAGTATGTTCTTTAGTTGATTCAGAATTCTTCATTTTACCTAAAGAAAGAAACAGTTACTTTCATCACAGTAACTCAAGGAGAGGAAAAGTGAAAGTACAGAGCAGTCAAGAACATCTCATTAAGGAGCCAGACACAAATTAAAGCTACATTCTAGTTTTTGTCCAAAGGTTGGCCAAAATCACCTTAGAAATTAGAATCTTTCCATTATGTTAACAAGTATTTTGGAGAGACTTCAGAGACTAGTCTGCTACTAAGAGCATTATTCAAATAGAGAAAAAAACCCGGTAGATTCATTTTGTGTTACATTCAGAATTTCACTATCTCTATTAAGTTCTTCAAGGCAAGAAAGGGTTTTTTTTGCTATGCAGAACAGAGTACACAAGATCCTGATGCTCTACTATAACAGGAATAAGAAATATTAGGCTTAAAAATTTTTACACAATACTTTTAGTTAAGGAAAAGGTAACAGGACTGCCTTAAAGACATTCACCCAAACAGAGCCAGTCATCAGGCATTTGAAGCCCTCAATTTAGAAAGCTGCTGGAATTGCATCTGAACACACTGCAACACCTTGCCGCCCACGGCTAGCAACCATGGAGCTCAGGAACACTGCTACTCATGAACACGAGGTCAATTCCAAAAGGCCAGTTCCTCCAGATGCCTATGAATTGTTCATAGTCCATTAATCTGCACAAACATCAAAATCTTAAATTATTCCAATAGTTTTTACATCAGCAAAACTGAGGGTTATTTGTGTTTCGTGGGGTTTTTTTTCTTTTTTCTTTCCTTTCAAATGAGAACTGTGCCCCCAGATCAGCTAGGAAACAAAACTGAGCAAGTTTTCAAGTCCTGGTTTCTCAGTGACAGATGGTCCTACAGTACACGACGGTGGTCTACAAAGAGCTTACTGATAACAGGATGCTGCCATTTCAACTCGATTTTCCTGTTCAAATTTATTAAGATAGCTAAAAAAATAGGTACCATAATATTTTCCTAGTATTTCCATACAAGCAACTGCTGTAGCTGTTGCAATAGTGGAAAATACTTCAAATAGAAGGCCTGCACTGGCACACCATCTTAAAACTGCATTTCTCTTGGAAAAAAATACTTTCTGAAAATGTGTGACAAATCACAGAATCATGGAATCATAGAATGATCTGGGTTAGAAGGGATCTTATAGATCATCTGCTTCCAAAACACCCTGCCATGGGCAGGGAGATCTTCCACTAGACCAGGCTGCTCAAAGTCCCGTCCAACCTGACCTTAAGCACTGCCAGGCAGGGGTCTGCCAGGGCCTCACCACCCTCATTGTGAAGAATTTCTTCCTTTTATGTAATCTAAATCTATCTTCTTGCAGTTTAAAGCCATTCTCCCTTGTCCTATCACTCCATGCCCTCGTACAAAGTCCTTTCCAGCTCTCTCGCAGGCCCCTTCAGGTACTGGCAGGCTGCTATAAGGTCTCCCCGAAGCACTCTCTTCCCCAGGCTGAACAGCCCCAGCTCTCCCAGCCTTTCCTCACAGCAGAGGGGTTCCAGCCCTCGGATCGTTGCTGGGGCCTCCTCTGGCCCCGCTCCAACAGCTCCAGGTCTGTCCTGTGCTGAGGGCTCCAGAGCTGGACGCAGGACTCCTGGCGGTGTCTTGCCAGAGCGGGGCAGAGGGGCAGAATCCCCTCCCTCAACCTGTGGCCATGCTGCTTTTGATGCAACCCAGATACAGCTGGCTTTCTGGGCTATCATATCCTGAACTAAGGAATCAACCTGAATTGAGACAAAGCCTGATCCATATACTTAATTCTGAAATTGAAAAACATGTGTAAGAATTGAACACTCTTAAGTGCAACCACTGATGGATCATACATATTCCAGAGCTCCCTAAATTGAAAAGCCATCTGCCAAAACATATTTTAAATTATTTTAGTAACAAAAAGAGCACAACAATCACAGGAAAAAAGGTAAATATTTTCCCCCTACCTATAAAAAAAGCTTCTCATGCAGATTTATCCCCTGATCTTTCTGAAAAGCAATAATAGCTGGCATTTCCGTAAGTGGCAATGATATTATGAAGGGTTCCCCCCTCCCAAGACACTGTATACACAAAATTGCCTGAAACCCACGCACACTAAGTATCTTGCAAAGATGTTTAGGTCTTAGGCATGAGAAAAAAGGACCGCTATTATTATAATCTCTTATTCTCTACATAATATGCTTGTATTAATAATATGTTCTCTCTAAATGCCATCTGCAACTTACTATACGTGAAAAAAATGCACAAACAGAAACATTTCAAATCCTGTTTCAGATTGTTCACAATTTTACGAGAAGAAAATTAAATAAAGTAGCATTGAATAATACTCACTGAAGTCATCAGGTTTATGTTCCATTTTTCTTTGATCTGAAGCAGTCTTACCAGGATCACCAGTGCGATCAACGCTAGTCTTCAAAGTATGAACTCCCAGTGGATTTTCCAACACCAGTTTCCCTTTCTGCGTAGCTGTTAAGCTTTCCATACTGAACCCGTTCCCTGAAATATGGGACCCTGGAAAGTTTTCGCCCACTGGTTGAGCTTTTGTCTGTTTTAGGTTTTCCACTGCTGATGATAAATTAGAAAATTTTTTTGCTTTTCCGTGACTTCGATCCTGAACATTTGACCCCGTATCTTTAGTTCCAGCAGTGCAACTATTTACTTTGCATGATTTATTTTCTCCTGGTTTTTCAGAACAAGTATCATTTTGTTTACTTTTTTTGCTGCTATTCCCACTTGGAGAACTTCTTCCAACATCCTTTACAGATTTGTCATTTCTATTATGTTTATAATTTTGATTATTTGCAACTTTGACTGCTTTGCCTTCCTCACAGACAAGACGGACAGACTTCCTTGGGTCATGATTTCCATTCTTTGAGCTCTTGGCCTCTTCCATTATAGTGAAGACCTGCTTCTCCTGTCCCTTGAGACCACTTGAAGTGCAATTCTTCAGCAATTTGCAGTTGATTTTAAATCCACTGTGCAGGCAAGGATCGTAGCTGATTGTCTACTGAAGAAATAATGATAGGCATTTTTAAACTGAAGGAAAAATATCAAAGCTCTATGTAGACAACGCATTAAAATAAACCTCTCTAAAGAAAAGCATAACTACAAATTGTTATAGGAAGGTTGTTCCCCCCACAGGCATTAAGTGAATTTTCATAATATATTCCATATTAAAGTAAAACTCATGAAAATTCTGATCATCTTGACTTCTACTTAGAAGAGGTGGGGATATGAAGAGACAATATGGCCGAACACGTTAAAAACTACTTAGTGATAAACCTGCCAACAGTTTGCTTTTTCTTTCCTTCTTATTATTGGCTTTCTAAAAAAAAAAACAAAAACAAAACAAAAAAAAAACCCAAAAAAACAAGAACCAAGATGTCTGCAACTACACTGGAAAAAAAAAAAAGAAAAAAATTAACACATCTAAAAACTACCACTCGATAAGCACACAGCTCAAATTAGCCACTAGAGAAAACTAACACAGTTTCATGCAAGCAAGCTCCATTTTATTAACTGATTTAAAAAAACCCAGTATTTAGAGATATAGCTCAAAGTATTAATAATAAACCTGACTTATGACCTGTATCCACAGATACTTAGTATATTTCTGACACATACAATTCTAATCGAAGTTAACTGCCATCAATTAAATACAATTTTGCTCAGCCAAAAACCCCACAAATAGTAAATATTCTGTTTAGCTGCGGATTAATTTTACTTATGTAAATCTCAGCCCTTTAGGTGTTATATCATCTGAGCTCTATGCTGGAGAGAACTCAAAGATTGTTTTTCCAATGGGAAGCTAAGCATGAATAAGTGGGTCTGTCTGAAAGGAATTACTCTTACTAAAACAGAAATTGAAGGGGGGATCTGTAGCAAGAACTTGGATTTATATTTTTTTAAACAACCTTGAGATAGCAATAAAAAATCATGAGAATGAAGTATTAGACATAGAAGAAAGTAAATTTTATGAAACTACTGCAAGATACGGAGTTTGGGAATATAGAATTTCTCTCTTTCCTGTTTATCAACATATTTGGTAGATAAAAGCACGATACATGGGAATTTCTGGGTTTTACAGAACCTGTCAAAATATCATGTAGTGAAGAATAGGAGCAACAGAAAAGTCAATAAATTACAACTATTAGAAGTATCACAGTGTACTTCTGTACTTAAATAGTAAGAATCAAAAGGAAGGATCAGATTAAAATGGTTAAAAAAATCCTTTCTAAATATTATCAGTATAAAGGACAGTAAATTTCTTTTCAGGCTATATAATGTAGTTACAATCTCTCACTTTAGAGATACAAATCAGAAAACACTTCAGAACACAAAGCACATACTAAAAATTGCTATCTTAAGCCATTATTGACATAATCGAAAATACATATTATCTTTCAAAAATGAAAAAAAACCAAACAAAACCAGCAAGATTTTTCATGAAGTTAACGTCAGCATCACAGTCTTCAGTAAAATATAAAAAGAAAAAAATTTGTATTACTAAATTCACTCCAATGCACAAGTATTTTATCTCACAAATACATTTAGTTACTATCACAACTATTTTCCATTAAACACCGATTACACCTGACTCTTCCTTCTAGACCACAAGTCAAAGACCAAAACCCAAAAAGCTGAAATATCGCTTGCCTTTGGACTGCAGTCAGTCTTTCCCATAGCAACTCTTATTAGCTCGGCAGCAGGAACTACTGCCCACCCGCACCTGCACTGCTCAAGCCTCAGTTGGTAAGAAGAGCCCAGGGTCCCCATGGGTTGGCTAAATTATTCTTGTCTCTGACCACCAGTGTAAAGCACTGCTCAATAGACTGGTGAGAAGTTATAGCTATGTACAGGATGTTGCTGTCTTTAAACTGTACTCTACTGTGAATTTCATGTAACCCAAAGAGAAAGGAAAGTAGGGTTTTTCAAATTCTAAACTATTCCTTACGTTTTAGGTGCTCAACCTGAAGAGAGGGAAAAATGCCAAAACAACAACAAACCCGCCCCCCACACACACATCGGTTCCACTTTCGTTTCTGGTTCGTTTCTGACATCCACGCCGCGCTTCAACTCCAGACTGGAGCACAGCAAGGCCACACTTCCAAGTTCACTGAGAAGCAGCGTAGGTCGGCACCAACTCTGACAGAAGCAGTAACATCCTTTCTCCAACCCCAGGTACGTACTCGCACTCCTTGGGCTGCTCACTCCCTTGTGCAGTTCTGCAGTGAACAAAACCGGAAAACCAGTCCAGCTTAGCATAAAGCTGGCACAAGGGAGGAGGAGCAGGAGCTGGTAATAACAAACAACTAGTAAGGTGGGGACAACTCGTCTTGGCACCACTTCCAGCTTAGAGCTACCATAAAACCCCGGCATTAGAGGAAAAGTGGGGTGTCATATTGCTCTGCTTTTTGTAAGTGCCACATTGTTAAGATTCATATTTTGCAAGAAGGTTTGAAAAAATGCACAAAAATTCTACCGTAGGCTCAAATGATTTCATCTCATCCATTCAATAAAATACACATTTATATATTCAAACAGAATATAACAAATGTGACGGGAAAAAACAGCTAAGGAAACTGCTAGCAAAAACTATCTTTATAACCCAGCTAGTAAATTGAGTAGTGTTACAACATTACATATTAAGAGAGTGAGTGTAATCAAATGCAAGTAGTTAAGGTTAAAAAGCACAGACATATTCTTTATTCCTGAGAAATAAGAACAAAAACAGGTCATGAAATTTCATGACACGAATATTTTGTACAAAAAAAAAAAAAAAGTTAAGAGTTCCGCAATGAAATTCAGAATCTGAAATGTAAGTGGAATAATAATGTTGTTGTACTTTGGGATTTTTTTTTGCCTTTTTTTCCCCCCTTTTGCTCTTTAATACTTAAATGATTTAGCAAACAAAATAATCTAAACTGCTGTAACATACTCAGTAGTAACCACATTACCATCTCACAAAGGACTACAAAGTAAACCAACTAATGAAACTTAACATGAAAAACAAAAAAGGAGACCACTACTAACCCCAAGACACCATAAAAAAGATCCTTCCTCCGCTGTCAGATACTGGCCAACTATATATGAGAGAGGGGAGAGAGGGAAATGGGAGGAAGGAAAGTAGTGCCTCTGAAAAGAATAACATGGTTGGAAATAAAACACTAGAGTGGAGTGAATCAGTGCTGAGGTGGCATCTTTCTAGAAACCTGGATGGCATGTCTTATTCACAGGCTCAGGCTCATACCAAATTGCCAGACCTGAAATCAAAGCAGAATTTTCTTCCAGGCAGACTCGCAACAAAACCAGAGTTTTTCACCTGAGTCTGCAAACTGGGGTATGATTCACCTGTTTAAATCATTTCAGCATATTTCATTTATTCAGTATCCTGACGTTAGAGGGGACTTGGTTTTCCCAACTTTCTGAACATACAGTGCCAGTTACTCCTCTGAAATCTAGCTCAACTCCTGGCACTTCGTAGAAAAATAATTTGGCTCAACAGCTTGAGGTCAGACAAGACAGCACCTGACCTCAAACTCTAGAAAATGATTAAGCCTATACATACCTACAACAATCAAATTAAAATGTTTAAAATCAGCTCTGATTTCGCGCCCGTAGAATTCATTCTAGGTTCACAAAAGGAAGGAAGGAGACTGTTTCACTTTCATTTCTGCCAGTTTCTTTTGTTTCGCTCTTCTCTCAGACTAACATTAGAAAATTCTGTATTTGAATTGCAAAAACTCAGGGTAAGCTTGCTACCAAACAGGGGAGGGGTGCGGGGAGAACAAACACTTTCAGGAAGATATTTCTACCCATTTGCCCTTCCTTTTTTTTCTTTCCTCTCAAGTTGTTCAACTGTACTTAACTCCTTCAAAAGCACACATTTTGGGTCGGACTTTGCCATAACAGGGCCTCTTCAAAGATGAAGGCCAAGGTAAACTGTGAGCTCTTGCGTTCTCAGTTGCCCTTCTGCAAAGCATTTCTTTTAACAATTTCATTAGCAGCAGAACCAAATATACCTGGTTTCCTATACACTCATTTTGTGCTCTTCTGTCACAGTCTGAATCACAGACTATTGGGCAAGCAAAGGAGACATGCTGTAGCTGAAGGAACCTATATGCTGACTAGTTGTTAGCTACTCCATAAGAGGAAATGTAACTTCGTCCTGCTTTCCCCTCAACAGAGACCCCTCCTCTATTGAGGCATGATTTTTCCAGAAAACATAGAGAAACTCAACAATCTTCTGACATTACTTCAAATATCTTCTAAAATTTCGTCCCAATTGGCTAAAATGTCCAACAGTAATTACAAGAATGCAGAACAGCAACGAAAGGGAAATATAACAGTCTCCTAAGTTTCATTTCCCCAGCGAGTACAAGATGAAATATAAACAGCAAATGTACTACAAACATAATTGTTATCACACTCTTCCTATAAAGCATTCCCTCCTTTGAGATAGAGAGACCTGTACTTTATCTGAGACCTGCTTTTATCTGTCCCATTATGATTCTCCCTTAAGCTCAAATCTCACCAGCTAGCCTTCCAACAGTGAGCGGGGTGATTAACCTCATTATCCCCCAGCTGATTACCAGCTGAACTTCGCCAACAAAAATAAAAGGAAACTCAGCAAACAAAGGTTACAGACACAGACAGGAACAGAAGGGAAGGCTGTCTTCTGCACTCTGCTTAGACTGCAGCCCAGGTGATGTCTACAGACAGTACAAATGTGCTAGGGATATCTTTTTTCTCGACTTTGCAGCCTTAGGCCCATTTTTGTGTCCAAGAACTCCTACAAATCATTCAACCTTATCCCATGTTCTATGCCAACAGCTTAAAAAAATTATCGCACATTTATGTTTGTTTTATGATAAACTAGACATACCTTAGTACAAACTCTTATCAATCCTCGATGTTTGTCCAAACTACTAAAATTATGAGAGCTTACAGGCCATTAAGTGCCTCAGGCTCTACTAGCAATAAACCCACAGGTATTCTTA